TTCACGTTAAGTCAACTATGCATTCCTGAGACAAATTCTATTTAATCATAGTGTATAATTCTTTTTACATGCTGCTGGATTCAGTTTGCTAATATTTTGTTAAGGAGTTCTGTATTTATGTTCAAGAGGGATATTGGCCTGTTGTTTTCTTATGATGTCTTTGTCCAGCTTTGAAGTCAGGGTTAATTCTGGCATCATAAAATGAACTGAAAGTGTTCCCTTTTCCTCTATTTTCTAAGGAAGAATTTGTCTTCTTTAAAATTTTATAGAATTCACCAAATATGGTCCTTGGGTTTTGTCAGAAGATTTTAAATTACTAATTCAATTTCTTTATTTTTTACAAGTGTATTCACATTTTCTATTTCTTCTTATATTAGTTTTGGTAATTTGTGTCTTTCTAGGAAATCATCCATTTCATCCAAGTTATTTAATTTAATGGCATACAGTTTTCATAATATTCCCTTAGAAGACTTTTAAGTTCTGTAAGGTTGGTAGTGATGTCATATCTTTTACTCCTGATTTCAGTAATTTGACTCTTCTTTTATCTTGGTCAGTGTAAAGTTCTGTCAATTTTGTTGATGTTTTCAAAGAATAAATTTTTAGTTTCATTGATTTTTCTCTAATATTTTTCCATTCATTGGTTTCTGAGTTAATCTTTATTATTTCCTTCCTTTGTTTACTTTTGTTTAGTTTGTTTGTTTGTTTTGGTTTCTTAAGACGGAAGCTTAAGTAACTGATTTTGATTTGAGATTGTTCTCCTTTGATAATACACACATTTAAAGGTATAAATTTTCCTTGAAGCACTGCTTTAGCTGCACATAAATTTTGATAAGCTATGATTTTGTTTTCATTCAGTTAAAAATATTTTTAAATTTCCCTGGGATTATTAAAAGAGTGCTAGTTCAACTGCCAAATACTTGGGGTTTTTGTAAGATTTCTCTCTGTTACATAATTTTCATCTTTTGAAATCTACTGAGACTCGTTTTATGGCTCATTATATGGTCTAACCTAGAGAATGCTTCACATGTGCTTGAAAGGAATGTGTATCCTGTAATCACTGGGTTGAGTTTTCTATATATGTGAGTTAGGGCAAGTTGATTGATAATGTTGTTAAAATCTATCTTCTTGCTTATTTGCTGTCTAGTCAGTTGTGCTATCAGGTATTGAGGGTGGGATATTGAAATCAACTACTACTGAAGAATTGTCAATTTCTCCTTTCAGTTTTTCTTCATGTATCTTGGGACTCTGCTGTTAGATGCATAAACATTTATAATTGTACCTTCCTGATGTATTCACCTCTATGTCATTATGAAAGTTCCCTATTTGCCTTTAGTAATACTTCTTGTCTTACAGTCTACTTTGTCTAATATTAATATAGCTATTCCAGCTCTATTATAACTACTGTTTTCATCAATTATTTTTTCCCATCTTTTTACTTTCAACCTATTTGTGTCATTGAATTTAGGGTGTATCTCTTGTAGACAGCATGTAGTTGAGCGATGCTTTTTATCCAGTATGACAATCTCTGCCTTTCGAGTGTTTAGTCCAGTCACATTTAATGTAATTAGTGATATGGCTGAATTTACATTTGTCGTTTTGTTAACTGTTTTCCATTTGTGTCATGTCTTTCTTTTGTTTTTTGTTCCTGTGTTCCTCCTTACTGTCTTCCTCTCAGCCTGAAGACTGAAGTTCTCTCAATCTTTGTTTATCTGGAAATGCCTTTATTTCATCTTCATTTTGGAAGATTACTTTCACGGATGTTGCGCACTTGGTTGACAAATTCTGTTTGTTTGAGCACAACGAAATGTCATCTCACTGACTTATGGTCTCCACTGTTTCTGATGAAAAGTCAGTTGGCAGTTAAAGGTATTATTAGTACTGCTTCTCTATGTGTGATGAGTCATTTTCCTTTTTCTGCTATCAAGATTTTCTCTTTACTTTTGGCAAATATGGGAAGTTTTCTGCCATTATTTCTTCAAATTTTTAAAATTTTCTTTTACTCCTCATTTTTCTCCTAGGTTTTCCATTATATGTATGTCTATGCAATTACCATATTTTTATGCAAATAACGTGTGCCCTCTACGTTTGTTTGCCAATTGCGCCCTCCCCCAGCAAGGTATTTTCATAAGCACCACTATGCCAATTTTTTTTTACATGTTGCTGTAAAAAAATTAGCATAACATGCTTACAAAAATACCTCGTGGGGGAGGGTGCAGTTGGCAAACAAATGTAGAAGGCATGCATTAGTTGCATAAAAATACAGTAATAGTGTCCCATAGGTCTCTAAAGATCTTTTCGTTTTTTTTTGTTCTGTTCCTAGCGGTTTTATAAATTCTATTGGTCTATCTTCAAATTCACTGATTCTTCTGCCATCTCAAATCTGCTGTAGAGCACCTAGTAAATTTTTTATTTCTGTTACTGTACTTTTTAACTCTAGAATTTTTGTTTGCCTTTTTATAATTAGTCTTTTTTGTTGATATTCTTTATTGAGTCACTGTCGTCCTGCTTGCCTTTAACTCTTTAAACATACTTTAACTCTTTGAATGTATTTATAATCACTGCTTTGAAGTCTTTGTCTGCTGAATCCAACATATGGAGATTCGTAGATACAGTTTCTACTGATTGTCTTTTTTTTTTTTTTTAAGTATGGGTCATACCTTCCTATTTCTTTCCATGTCTCTAATTTTTTTTGTTGAATACTAGACAGGTTAGATAATATATTGTAACAATTATAGATTTCGATTTTTCCCCAGAGGTTGCTGTTGTCTTGTCTCCTTAGTAATCTGATACACTAAAATCTGTGAAGTCTGTCTCCCCAGCAATGTTTGGCTCGATGTCTCTACTCAATTATTATTTCTCTCATATTTCTTTTTACGCTTGGTTTCCTAAGAGGTCATCACTATGTCTCCACAGCTTAGTGTTCAGCCAAAGATTGGTCAGAGATTTTGTTCAAATACCTCAAGCCAGTAAGGATTCTACTCTCTGTTGATGGATTTGTGTATGGAATGGGGAACACATTCAAAATCCAGGCCTTTTACAAGAGTGCTCCAGAGTTTATTTTCCACCACCCCTCTTGAATTCCCTCTGCACATATTCTTAGGTTCCTCTGGCCAGGACATATAGGTGGCCTGGGTCCACTCCATTCTCTCCTTTGCAGATGCATAACCTCCAGTTAGCTCAGGACACGTGTTGAGCTTATCAAGCCCCACGACTGTCTTTCCTTCTAGAACTTTCTGTTAAATCCCAGCTAGTCTGCCAATCAATTACTTGCCCCAAATTGGACCAAAACCTCAGACTAGCAGAGCCGTTGACACTCGCCGTTCACTTGGTACCAAGATTGCTACTTTAACGTACAATGCTCCATATCAAGTGAGCTCTCTTCACCAGTGGCAGCAAAGTTGCTGGTTTTCAAGACCTGCCCCATCCTGGATGAACTACCATGCCAACAGAGCAAGGTGCAAGGAAGAGGGGAAGAGGACTAGTCCCAGACAAGAATACCACAAATGTGTGCTATTCTTACCCTAAGTTCAGTAGTTTTTATTAATAAAGCTTCTCAATCTAATTTGTTTGGTTGATTTCTAGAGCACTGAAATGGTTGATTTGACAATTTTATCTGTCTTTATGATTGCTTTCTGGGGAGAGTAATCAAACCTTCTCACTCAGTCATGTCAGTCATTCCTTTTTAGTGTATATCATGTGTTGCGGTAGTCCAAAGTTCAACTATACTAAATTTTGATAACTTTTGAGATTTTATTTACCGCTGAGATAAAACTGAAAGTTCACTCTTTTGTTATTAATATTGTATACACAGACCTGTAGCTATTTTAGACTAGATACATAGAGTCAGCTTCCTTTCTCTTTTTGCTGCTGCTGGGAAAAAAGTGCATTTGTGTGTAAGGTAAAGATAAGGGGTTGAAGTATCTATACATCGTTAACAGGAAGCTACTAAAAATACAACACAGTCATAGGTAAAATGATGCTAACAGACTATATTTGTTCAGTTCAGGTACCACAGTATATGAGAGGTAATGATGATCTATAATATATGAAAATGATACTAAAAGGTCTGGAAACCATGGCATAAGAAAAACATTTGAGAGAAATGTCCATGTTTACCCTGGACAAAAAGTGACTTACTGCTAGCCCTTCAAATATTTAAACTACATTTACTCAATATTGATCCGGAGGGCAAGAGTCAAAACTATGGGGTATAATTTAGAGTTCAATATACAAAAGAACTGATCTAACAATTTAAGCTAAAGCAACTGAACTCGTTCTCTTGCAAAATACTGAGTTCCCCTCACTGAGAATGATCGTAACAGAGACCAGATGACTACCTTTTAAAAGAAGTGCTATAGAAGAGATGAACTAAAAGAACTTTCAACTCTAAGCTTCTGTAATTTTATAAAACTTAACAGATAAGAATTAGATGAGTAAAAGATAAAGGTATCAGGAAAAACAATCCAAAAGGTTATCATAAAAGAATATCATACTTTATGTTATTCATAATTAATAATGAAATGGATCGTAAAACTATCCCTAAAAGACATATGTTTCACTGTACTATTGGGTCCCGAAGGGCAACAATATACTGCTGGATAAAATAAATAAGCTATAAAAACAGAAAACACTATCCTAACACTGTACCAAGCTATGATCTGTAGTTCTGGTTGCTATACCACATTTAAAAACAAGCAAGCTGAAGTGGAACAAAAGATAACAACTAAAATGAAAAAGATATATAGGTTATTACATAAAACCAGACTTTATTCTGGAAAGGCTGAAGCTTAGTGGGTGAAGAACAAATATTTATAAAGGACATGAAGGGCAAAAAACAAAGTAAACTCAGACTTCACCAAAACTTAGAAGAGGTAACATTAAATTTAAATTCTGAAAGGGGTTAAGTTAAGACAAATAAAAGTAGCACTATTATATTCAGGAAAAAGCAAGAATTTTCTAGGACCAAAACATGTTATAGACTGAAAATAGAAATAACTTACTTCTTTTAGTTGATCAGCACTCCCCCATGATGCAGAGCGCTGATGTGACCTCTTTTCTGCTCCCTCTTCTGCCCAACAGCTAGGTGTCTTCACAAAAAAAAAAAAAAAGACAAGTATAAAAAAACAAGGAATTTCATCTCTACTCGCTGATATCATAGCAGCTAAAACGTATTTCAAAATCCTAGCACATATCAGTTTAGGGGCTATAGTAAAATCCTTTGAATGCTAAGATTTTCAGAAGCATATGAAATGTTTTTAAAAAACACTGTCATATTCTGAATTGGATATGATCAATCTAAGATGTCTCCAAGTCATCTTTCTCAAAACATTTGGTATCTTCATTTCAACAACATTAATAACTTAAAGTAACTGAATTCAAAGAGATTTGCATATTGATGTTTTTAAAGAGAATAGCCAAACTAAATGTAAAATGGTATTTCTATTAAGTAAAATGGACAGAAGTAGGATTAACAGAACTAGCTCACAGGCAGTGGGATTACACAGTGACCTACATGTCAAATATCTAGACAGACAGAGGGCTGATTGTACTACTTCTCCTGTACTCAGGGAACAGAGAATTAACAATAGTATCATCTTTGAAAAATATCAGTATATTTATATGAAAAATGTAAACCAAATTGAAAAATACAAGTCATTATAAAAATTAAAAAGAAAAATATTAAAAACAATATGAGCTCAATAAACTGACCCACAGTTAAAATAATGCATCTTTAAAAACAAACAAAAACAACAGGTACACATCAGAAAACAGAAATTTTTTAACCTATAACCTCATTTTAAGTTATTAAGCCATTAATGAACACTGTACCTAAATGCAGCACAAAATACTAAATCCTAAATGATGCCACAAAGTGGTAAGACAATTTAGTAATTGTGTTATAAATCAAAAATATTATAACACCATCTTTAATATATGAGAAAAGTCTTAGTACAATGCTAATTAGGGACAGTTAAAAAACACTATTTAAAGACAAGCAAGGAAATGATTACCAAGATAAATACTATATATGGCTTTAAAAATTATTTTTTATTACATACAGAAAAGGCTATCTTTTATGTTGAGGCCCAACCTGTGTATCTAAATAATATTATAAGCTCTTATAAAGAAGTCACTAGTTCTACTTTATACAGCTCAAAATGCTTGTGGATAACTTTTTAAATTGTTACCACCTCTTAAAAATAATGATACTCTAAGAAGATGCTATTAAAATCGGAAAGCTACTTGAATAAATATAGAAATAAACTGCTTAAACAGTTCACTACTGAAGTGAAGAAGTTGTTAAGTCATAATTGAAAGCAAAAAAATTAACATTTTATTCAACTGGCAAGTGCTAGGATAACAGGTATCAAAATATTACATAAGCTGCTTGCCAATAACCATTAGTAATTAAAATTTCCTAAATTCAGACCCAGATAAGACAAACTACTCTAAAAAGAATTTAGGTTCCCTAAATACATCATGAGGGTACCTAGGTGGTACAAACAGTTAAGCATTCAACTATTAACAAAGTCCCTGGGTGGCGCAAATGGTTTACGCTCAACTACTAACTGAAAGGTTGGTGGTTTGAATCCACCTAGCGGTGCCGTGGAAGAAAGGTTCTGGTGATCGACTTCTGTAAGATTACGGCCATTGAAAACACTATACAGTTCTCCTTTACAACACATGGGGTCACCATGAGTCAGGACTGACTCAACATGAGCCAGGGCTGACTCAACTTGAGCCAGGGCTGACTCAACATGAGCCAGGGCTGACTCAACATGACTGACTCAACATGAGTCAGGACTGACTCAACACCAACGGGTTTTTTTTTTAATATATATCAATCTTTAATAACCAATTTATTTTAAAATTATTTAATTATGACAAGCTTATTTTAGTCAAACTTTTACTTTAAGAATTTATACAACTTCATATTTTAGCATTCTACCAAGGGTAAGCATTCCTCTTGCTAAAAATCATGTGATTAAGGATCATAATCTTTACAACTCAAAAGTATATTCACATAAAATTAATAATTAGACTGCTCCATAACTGCTTAACCATAACAACATTTATAATACCAATAATTTTCATTTTTACAGCTTTTTCAAAGAACATTTATATATACTGTAACTCCAACTTATAGATAAATCAATAGCTGAAAGAACTTTCGTGACTGCCTCAATATTGCAGAGCACACTGACAGCAAATGGAATTATATCTGAGGTCTCTTATCTCAAAGAATCTCTTCTGTCTTTATATTATCATCCTTAAAACTGAATGTGAAAACCTATTTAATTATTTTAGAATGTAGTGTAAGTTATACAAAAGAAAAAACCTAACCACAAAAGAATGTTTATGCTCATGAAAGCAAGCTAGTTAATGTATGCAGTTTTTTAAAAGTGAGAAACCAATGAGAGGCTTCTCTCAATGTTACTATTTGAGTTACATGCATATAAGTTGTTTAAGGACATTCATCATAATCCCAACTTTCCAAACATACTCCCCCATAGAGTACTTTCATCTTAATTACATCAATTTAAAATAAATACACACAGATTTCTAGTCTACAAATATATTCTATAGACTACATTGTCCAATATAATATCTACTAGCCACATGGGGCTACTTAAATTAATTAAAATTAAATAATACTAAATATTCAGTTCCGTAGTTACAACAGCATATTTCATATGCTCACTAGTCATATGTGGCTAGTGGTTACTGGCTACTGTATAAGACGGTGAAGATAGGAAGCACTTCCATCTATACAGAAAGTTCTATTAGAGAACAGTGTTTTATACATCTAATCAATAATTTTTAACAGGTTATCTTAATCAAGGCAAAAGCAAAAGATGGCTATTTTGTTTATCAAACCTATTTAAAGCTGATGCTTGTGAAGTCAGAGAGGTGAGCTAATCTGAATCGAATTTGTTAAATCTGAGTATTTGAGAAGTATTTTACCATTTGAATTATTAAAATAACAACACAAAGTAGCGTAAGTTCTTTCCTTTCATGTCACCAAGCAGCACTTTCTAAATGGCCTGTTATTCTGTCCACAGATTAAGGAACGTTCTACCAATGACCACACCTAGGAAACATGGTATTAAAATGACACCATAATATCAATGTTGGCAAATTTGGTGGGAAGTAAGCAGTTGGAACAACTCTAGACCAGGCAAATGAACTATAAAGAACACTATTAATCTAGACAAGAATTTTACAAACTGTGCTCCTCTTAACATTCCTCCTGGGTGTTAGTAAGAATGTATGACAAAAGGGGTCCATGGGCAAATAAGTTTGGAAATGTATATTATAATTTCCTCTAGCCAATGCACAATGCATGTTAGCATTTCAAAAACTCAAGACACACAAACACACATTTTTTTTTTTTTTTAACAACCTGTTTAACTTTGTCTCATTTACATGACCCCAGAACATTTATCTTATAAGCACACATGTAAACATCCTAAGGCTACTCCACAGCTTGGAATGAAATGCAGTCCACAATAATCCGTATTGCATCTAACAGCTTGCTCTTCAGCTTCCACACTATAGGGAATTCTTCCTTTCTGTCTCCACTAGACTGCCGGGGAAGAGAAAACGAAACTTTTATACACTTGAACAATGCAAAACCAAAGCCTATCTCTAAGACAGTTGACAAAAAAAGGTGGTTAGTTTAAAAAAATTCCTTTTATGTGAAGAGGATGTGCAGAGGCCCTTTTGATCCCCACCTCCTAAAATTGTCCAAACTCTAGCCAAAAGAGTGATGCTTTCTCTCTGACCCTCAAGTCCATCCTCCAAGTTCTGGTGTCCTGTTGGAGGATCACTCCTCTGAGTAAAATACAGAGGAAGGTCCGATTGTACAGGGCTGCACAGGCTTCAAAATGAATACACATAAGACAAATTATTTCGGCTAGGTCAACCGAAAAGCTTAAAATACTGGGTACTTTTGTTATTTATATCTTTAACTTTATTCACAACTAGCAAGGGTAAATATGCTTTCCTACTTTATCAATTTCAAAACAGTTCAAATTAACTCCTAGCAAGAAAATATTCTTTTTCAATATGCAACAGCCTAAAGTCACTTCTAAAAAATCCCAAAACAAACAAAAAAACTAATCACTTCACAAAATTATCTTAATCTTATTTAAAACAAGGAGTTATTTAAAACTTTAAAATTTTTTTTTTTTTTTTAATGGTTCATCTTGGCCTAGAGTATAATTTATTATGGAACTATGACTACTATTAATTATTTTATAGTACTTATAGATTATTCTTAGTATTAAAGTATTAATAAACCTGGCACGAAATGAGATGCAGTCAGTTGAAAATTAAAGATACTTAAATTAAGAATTATGATTACAGATTGATATTAAATTATAAAAATGTTTTAAGATAGGTGTCTTAGTTACCTAGTGCAGCTATAATAGAAATACCAAAAGTGGATGGCTTTAACAAACAGAAATTTATTCTCTCACAGCCTAGGAGGCTAGAAGCCAGAATTCAGGGTGCCAGCTCCCGGGGAAGGCTTTCTCTCTCTGTCAGTTCTAGGGGAAGGTCCTTGTCATCAATCTTCCCCCAGTCTAGGAGCTTCTCAGTGCAGGGACCCTGGGTCCAAAGGATGTGCTCTGCTCCCAGCGCTACTTTATTTAGTGGTATGAGGTCCCTATCTCTCTGCTTACTTCTCTCTCCTTTCATCTCCTGTAAGATAAAAGGTGATGCAGGCCAGACCCCAGGGAAACTCCCCTTATATCTCATCAGGGCTGTGACCCGAGTAAGGGTGTTGTATCCCACCCTAATTCTCTTTAACATAACCTAATCTTGCCTCATTAACCACAGGCAGATATTAAGATTTACAACACATAGGAAACTACATCAGATCACAGAATGGAGGACGACCAAACAATACGGGGAATCATGACCTATCCAAGTTGACACATATTTTGGGAGGATGTAATTCAATCCATGACAATAGGTAACATCAAACTCTTTGTTATTCATAAGTATATACTTTATATTTGGTTTTCTTTTTATTAATAACAATTTTAACATCTTTTTTAATCTAAAGATCATTTTGAAAAGC